GCCATGGCACTATCCCCGGCCCCCGGGCCTCCCTTTGGTCTTGCCACCTCTGTCCTCTCAGTGGGAGAGAAAGGAGGGCAAAAAGCACCCAGATCTGAGTGCCCTGTGCCCATCAAACCAGGTAGCCCTGTGTCTCTTGGAAGCCCTGGATCTTGTTCAAGTGAACATTTAAAGAGAATGGCGGTCAGCTGGCCCACAATATGGCATCGTAGGAAAATGTGGATTATCCTCTCCTAAACACAACTAAAAAGAAAAACGTAAACTAAAATTTGCTCAAAGGAAATTTCAAAAAATTGTCATAGAGACATGGTATTTTTCCCATAGGAATTTTACGCTGAGGTCAGTGGTTTGTTTCAGGGCAAATAGGATAAGTAAAGGTCACTGCAGCCGGGTGGCAGCCATTCCAGCCAGCAAAAGAGGTCACCAGGAGATGGTGAGGAGGGCTAAGTTTCCTTACCCATCCATCCCCTCCCTGATCACCTCCTTCATTCAGCAAACAGCACCAGATCCTACCCCACCTTCTGTGAGGAAGAAGAAATCCGACATGGCTGGAGAGGAGGAGACTGGGCGTGGGGAGAGTGCCTGATGCCGACAAAGAAGGGGTTTCTGTTGGAGTGGAGGTGGGATGGGTGCAGAGGGGAAGCTCCCAGGTGGTACCAGTCTGGCTCTCTGAGTACAGGGGGTACCTGCATTTAAGTGACACGAGAACCCTGCAGGGGGAACATGTGGGGAACTGGGAGGCAGAATCGGTTTTGCACATTGCCAATGGCATCGTCCTGGAGACAGTTGAACACTTACTTATGGGTCTCAGAAAAACAGCTGGCCAGCTGCCAATCTGTGAGTAGCTCGTGCAGAAGTCTCCAGTGTCTGGCTTGGATTGACTCTGGAGGGGTTCATGAGTGGCAGTCTCACTCTTTCTCACCTAGTCCCTTCCGTCCAGGAGTCCTCCTCAGGCTGCTCGACCCCAGCCCCATGGGCCCTGTGTGCTTGGCAACCCTCATGCCTGCTGAGGAGGGTCATCCCATGCTGCCTTGACAACTGCCCATCCTACCAATGTCCTCTTCATTGGGCTTTCTGCTTGACCATGCCACCAAGGAAAACCACTCAGACAAATCCATTTGTTCAACCACTTCAGCATAGGCAATTTCCTTCATCTGGCTTCAGTTACACAGATGGAGCATTTTACATCACAAGAGCACCAGGGTGATGCCATAGGTTCAGACCTCGTAGGAGTCTGGTTTTGTCTCCCGCTTGGGCAAGTGGCCTTGCTCATTAGGGCACAGGTTGTGTGGCCTGGTGAGAGCCCAGAAGCCAGGACTGCCTTGCTGGGCCTTGTGTGGAGAATCTAGACCTCCCTTCCTCAACCAGAAAAGCATGATGCCGAGAGTGTCAGTGGGGCTCCTGTTCCCACACCCTGTTGTCCCTGAAAACACAAGTGCCCCAAGAGGCTAAAGGCCAAACACCAGGCCACTCACTCGGTTCTCAGGTGCCATCAGTCCACTGAGGAGCCGGCAGATCAGATGTGCATTTTGGCCACGACAGGCCTCAGATGTTGCTGTGATACTTTGTGGGGATGTCTGGAAGCAGATGGCCAAGCAGCTCAGTTGAGATCATGGGCCCAGAGGTACTTCATACGTTTTAAACCCATAAAGTATAAGGAGTGCCGATCTGTGAGTTGCTCGTGCAGAAGTCTCCAGTGTCTGGCTTGGACTCTGGAGGGGTTCGTGAGTGGCAGCCTCACTCTTTCTCACCTAGTCCCTTCCGTCCAGGAGTCCTCCTCAGGCTGCTCGGCCTCAGCCCCATGGGCCCTGTGTGCTCGGCAACCCTCATGCCTGCTGAGGAGGGTCATCCCATGCTGCCTGGACAACTATCTATTAACGGAGCGCCAGAACATTGGCCTCCCCAGGGCAGCATAGTGGGTTTCCAGCATGATTCTATCACAGAACTCCAGGTCTGCACCTACTATGAGGAGAAATCAGAGACTCTGTAACTGTGCATTTAGAGAAGGGGGAGTCGAGAGCTCTGCTCTCAAAGCTCTGGGTACATCACTTCATATCGCAAACCCTTCAATGAAGTGCCAAGATTACAAAATGGAGACAAGACGGTCTCTCTGTCAAAAAGTTCTGGGCAAACTAGATATCCATGTGCAAAGGGATGAAGTTGGACCCTTACCTTACACCATATACAGCCATAACCCAAAGATTAAAGTGAGCTCAAAAGCTTAAAAGCAAAAATAGATGGGACTACATTAAATTTAATTTCTGTACAGAAAAAAAAAAAAAAACGCTCAACACAACAATGTTTGCAAACTACTTAGCTGATAAAAGGTTAATGCTCAGAATACATAAAGAACTTTTACAAATAAATAGCAAAACAAACAACCCAGTTAAGAAGACTTTAGTAGACATTTATCTAGAGAAGATATACAAATGACTGGTCACTATTTGAAAAGATGCTCAACATCACTAAACATGAGGGAAATACAAACCAAAACTGTGAGATGTTAACGCATCCCCAGTAAGATGGGGGAGAAACAGAAAATTACAAATGTTAATGAAGATATGGAGAAATTAAAACTTTCATGCCCCCATTAGCAAGAATGTAAAATAGTGAGACTAGAAGACATTTTGAGGAAGAACCATTCCCCAAAATATTAAAACAGGATTATCATATGACCCAGCAGTAGCACTGTGAGCATATATCCAAAAGAATTGAAGACAGAATCTTGACAGACATTTGCACACTCATGTCCTTGAAGCAAGTTTCACAACAGCCAAGGTATTATAAGCAGCCCAAGTGTCCATCAACATATGAATGGATGAAGAAACTGTGCTCTCTACAATTAATGGAATATTATTCAACCTTCAAAAAGAAGAAGATTCTGACACATACTGCAGCGTGGGTGAACTCTGAGTACATTATGCTAAGTGAAGTTGAGCCAGACACACTAAGACAAATGCTGTATGATTTACTTCTGTGACATGTCTGAAATAGTCATACTCTTAGAAAGTAGAATTGTGGTTGCCAGGGCCTGGGGACGGTGAGGAAAAGTTCAAAGGGAAAAAAAGTTTCAAATTTAACAGATGAAAAAGTTCTAAAAATCCACTGTAAAATAGTATACATATAATTAACACTGCTGTACTTAAAAAAATGGCTAAAATTGTTTTTAATTTTTTAATCATAAATTCAGGGTGTAATAAATGGCATGTTCTTAATGTTTTCATTTTGTTTAACAGTCCTGATCTCAAGCCCGTGGTCCACAAGCCTGGCTATTTATTCTCACCTCACATCCAGGCTTGCAAAGATTTTATAGTCTAATAGCACAAAGGGAATCCACTCCCTATCCAGAGCAGTTTCCTCTCTCTTTCTGAGTCTCTCCCTCCTCCCCCCCAGGACACCTCTTTGAGAACAAATTCAGAAAGCTCCCACAGGGATGCAGCAGCTTCTCCATCCTGTCCCAGTCCCCAGGTCAGGGCACACAATGAATCTGCCTCAGATGTGCATTTTGGCCACGACAGATCGGAAGAGCACACGTCTGAACTCCAGTCACTGCTCGACATCTCGTATGCCGTCTTCTGCTTGAAAAAAAGAGACAGGAAAAGGGAAAGACATTTGACTTGGACCTGAGTCATTGCCTCTCCTCTGTGAATTTTTTAAGGGATTTAAAGTTGACTTTTACAGGAAAAATCGGTGCTTGCAATATAGTCACAGCCTTTTGTGCTGCTGCCTCGGGGCCAAGACCAGGGCCTGGCACAGTGGGTGGACAAGACAGAGAGACAGCTGTTAAATGTGCAACTTTAAAGTGCAACTGAGGGCCTTCCTGGTAGTACAGAGATTAAAGTCTCAGTGCTATCAAACTATCGCTGGCCACTGCAGTGTGAGTTCCATCTCCAGCCAGAGACATGGTGCAAATGTCCATGCCATATGGTGCGGCAGACCTCTCCTGTCTCACCTGCTGCTCCTCTCAGCAGTGTATTTCAATAGATCTGCCTGTTCTGCTCCCAACTCGGTCTCTGATGAATCCTCTCACACCCACACCTCTGGCCTGTACCCCAGTTCTTGTATGCATAAATAAGTAAAATAAATCTTTTTTAAAATTGCTACAGAGTATAAAATTCATTTTTTCTTATTGTCTCCTTGGGCACCTGGGGAAAACAGGAGGGAGGATGGGGGATAAGAGACAGAGGGGAGGAAGCAAAGGAGCATCAGGACATTTGCAGGAGCTCCTCACGAGAGGACCCAGTGAGGCCTCGGCTCCAACTCCCAGGTCCCTCCAGGAGCTGAGGACTGGGTCCAGACCCCTGAGTCCAGGTGTTTCCATGCCAGGACCTTCTCCTTCAGCAGCATGTCACTCGGGCCTCAGGGACAGACAGAGCAGGGGGTCAAAGGCAGAGGCAGCACAGTGCGCATCATAAATTCAGTGAGACAAAAGCGTGTGGATGAAGGGCAGGAAACCAGGAAGAATGTGCTTTGGTGAGCAAGTTATTTGTCATAAATCATGAGAAAATTATAAATCTCCATGGAGGTATGGGGGGAGAGATGAACAGAAGGTAGATGGAGAGGCTAACGCTAGTCACTGCTGAGCTTAAGCATCTGACATGCCAGGGAGCATCTTTATGTCCGTGTTGTCTCTGGTTTCATTTAATATTAACAATTATTCGTCGGGGCTTTCAGACAGGTCATTTAAGTCCCATCTGACATCTTATTTTTCTCACAAATCTGAAGTTTCTCAGCTGCCGATTCTTCTGAGTTCCCAAGTAGTAATTCCTGTTGATTGGGGCAGGACTCGTGAATGAATAAATGAACAGATAATTGAGTGGGTGTGGGGGGTGAGGATGAGCTATTAGCAGAGGCCTGGAGAGCAGCAGTGAGGGACAGCCTACTAGTAGGCTGCCTAGGACATGGTTGCTGGGAGCATGTATGGGCCGGTAGCAGGCAGGATGTGCCCAAGCCCACGGACTTCGCTTTCTCAACGAGTTCCTCCTTGTTTTCTGGTCTAGGCCCCCCTGGACGACGTGGCAAACCTGGAAGAAGAGGTGATCCTGGTGAGTCCCTTATTTTCTTAGCTCCTAAATCTAAATTGTGAGTCTTCCTTTGACTACGGGGCAGGCCAGCCAGTCCCCAAACCACCCAGAAAAGGTCTAGATCTTCATCTCCCTGCCAGTTCCACCAGACAACAGTGCCCAGAACTGACACATACAATTCCAGACACTGCCCCCCATGCCCTTCCCACTCCCCGCAGATCTTACTATCAGCCTCAGCACTCCAACCCCTGCCTCCCACTCTGAACAGCCTCCTCACGTGAGGCTTGGTGATGATTCCACAAGCCCATGGACCCCACCTGGGTTCCTCAGGACAGGGTGTCCTTCTCTGTGTGTCCCCAGACTGGGGCTGGCCTTCCCTCTCAGGGCCTCCAACCTGCAACCTGCACACTTTTCTATCACTCTGTCCTGCTATCGCCATGTCACCCAAAATGCATGCACTCTGCACATCCCAGTAGAGCTTCCCTAAGAAGTGCCCCCACCGTCCCCCATCCTTCCCCTTGCCTTCGATTCTTCCCAGCCCTCTGGTCTCTTTTCAGTCACACCACTGACATCTTCTCGACCAAAGTCATCTCTGACCCCCATCTTCCTCGACACCTAGTATCGCATCCCTGGCTCCCCACTGGCCTGTGCTCCTCCCACAGCTCGAACCACTTCTATGCATTTTCGACAGGACTCCACCTGCCTTTTTACTGAACTTGCCCTTGCCCCTCACCCTCTTCTCTCTCCATGGTCTCCCACCATCATATCTCCAGCTCCCCTCTGTTGTTACAGACTCCCCCTTCCTTGCCTCCAGCCAAGTCCAAGGTTAGAAAGAACCCAGCACCATGGCAATCTGCTTCCCTGTGCAAACACCTCCCACCCCACCCCAAAGAGTCCCAGTCAGTTTCCTCAGGGCATGTTGGACCCTTTCCTGTCCTCTCACCGTGCCCCCCTCCATCTTCACCATGGTGTCCAGGACTCTCCCACTGAGCCCACACTTGCATTTTCCCCTGCCCAAGTTCATTACTCTTTGTCCTTTATGTCTGGTTCAAATACCTCCTCCAAAACACCTTTTCTTTGCCCGAGTTTTCAGCACCCTGCTCAGAGCGGACTGGTCAATTCAAGTGCACTTAATAGTGAATGAATGAATGCTCACCCTTAAGCCACTTCACAAGCAGGAAGGTATGATAGGGACATCAGCGGTGCCCACCCCCAACAGGACCTTAGGCCGGCTGGACCAAGGGGAAGGAAAACAGACATATTCTCCCTGGACCTCATACTCTTCTTCTGGCACTGGCTGTGGGCTCCTTGCTCCTTCCTTCCCCCACCCCCCTCCGGCCCCCATCACTCCACCATGTGCGTGTGATGTCTGCTTCCTGCTGTAGCTGCGCTCCTGATAGATGCCCTAGAGCTTCCGGGCAGGAAATGCCCGCTGTGTTTGCTTTGACTTCAGAAGCTAGAGGCTGTTTGTGTTTGATGGTTGGGCATCCCTTTACTCTGAATTTGGTGTGTCATCACTCCCTTGTCCCAATGGCCCACCAGATACACACTTCCTGACTCAGCCCTTGTTTGTACCCTCATAAGAACTGTTATTGTCTTTTATTGTAATGTCCATTTTGGACGAGATGGAGAATACATAGTGGCATTTTTAGGACAAAGTATAGAGGAGTGAAAATATTAATTGACTTTCTTCAAAAACCCATTAGAATTACAACTCCAGTCTACAACACTGTAAAGTCAAAGATAAGGGGTTCCTGGGCTTCAGACATAGCACTGGGTTCTCTCAACCCCTTCATCTCAGGGGACTCTCACAGAGATCTGCAAGATAAGTACAAGTAATTATCTCCACTTGGCAGGTAAGGAAAGTGAGGCTTCACTAGAAGACTCTTGTCTACAGTCAACTGCTGGGCAAGGGTGGCCCTCACTTGGCTGCCCTTTCACACATGGCCAACTCTGGCTGTTGAGAATAGTGTGAGCAGCACAGAGCACATGTCCCTTTCACATTAGCCTTGCCGGGCCCACTATTCATTTCTAGATAATTTCACACACATGCTTTCCCTTGCCCAAACCAGGTCCTTTCCTGTGATGCAGGGAGAAAAGCTATTTTTGCCCAGTGAGACCTTGTCTGATTGAGATGTCTTCTGAGGCTGCTACAGACCTGCAGATAAAGCTGCCCCTGCTGCCTGTGGAAGGAAGAAGGTTTCCTCTCTGGCTCCCAAAGGAATCCTTTGCCTAGAAGAGGCCTCTTTGGCCCTGTAATGTTTATGAATCTCTATCCATAATGAATGAATTCTCGCCTTATAATTGGCCCATTGCTCAGCTGAGGAAAGCCAAGCACTGCCCTCCAGGGTCCTCTTTCTAGAGAACTTGAGGTCGCCTTCTAGACCTTCCTTTCCTCAAGAGCATTCATCGCTCTCCCCTGTCTCCATAATTCCAGATACCTCCCCCTGTCCTGGCACTTCCACACTTGGTTGTACTTTTCTTACCCCCAACATGTTTCTCTCCTCTGCCAAAGCATGGACTGGGGCTGGAGGCACTCGGGCATCTCCCAGGCACTCAGGAGATGGTCTTTTATTGCTTGTTGACGGAAAGAAGGGGAAGAGGGAGAAAGAAAGAAGAATCATAGAAAGTGGTGAGCAAAGGGTTAGGGTACAGAAAGATTCAAGGAAGAAATAGTCAAATGCTGTTTGGCCAGTGCCTTTGCCAAGCTGAAAGACAAGTGGAAGTGCTCACCAGATCTCTACAGCTGCCAGCCTTAACTGGCATTTTCAATGCTAAGGTTTTCTAGTTTTGTTTTATTTTTTAATCTACCCTGACCCTAAGAAATCCTTTCTGGAAATCCAGCAGAAGAAGCACTTCTACAATGGAAGACTAAGAACCTTTGAAAAAAATGACCTTTTCAGAACTCTGGGAAATTAAGGAAAAACTTACAAAAACCCAAGAAATGTGGATTTAAGAAAAATGTGTGAATCTTGCTAAGAACAATGAACATTTAAACTTTCCCATCTCCCCAGTCCATGGTAACCCTAAGACCAGTCAACCTTGATTTAAATTATTGTCTAGTGTTATCATTTCAGATTGAAGGACTTGCTTTAGTTTTTCTTGTGGACCAGGTCTGTTAGTTGATGAAATCTCTCAGTTGTTTATCTGGGCATGTCTTAATTTCTCTTTCATTTCGCAAGGGTAGTTCTGAAGCTGTATGTTACTTTGGTAGTAGTTTTCTCTTGTTACTTTTGAATCCCATTGCCTTATAACCATAGTAACTTTGGAAAGAAATAGCCACTAGAAGAACAATTTCAGAGCTCTCCATATACTCATGCCCAGAGAATTGCCACTGTTTGACCTGCCTGGCAGCTTCTTGGAAAACCCTGTACACCGGTCTTGCTTTATCTGACTTCATGTGGAACTTACTCACATGGAAAAGTCCTATCCCCAGACAAAACACTCAGCAGCAATTGTTTAACATCATAACTGCCTGAGGCAGAGATACCGGTTGAACCAAACAAAAAGATGACACAAAAACTTAAGTGAAAATCTAGGGAATGAAGTATCTGAAGGGGCTCTTTAAATCTCCAACATATTCCTGGGCATCTAGAAGTTTCATGCATATTCAGGACTGTGTGTATGTCCAGGAAAGATCTGAGAGAGACTCAATCTCTCTCTTCTGGCTGAGTTTGAGGCTCTGCACAAGCAGTAAGTGAAGGCAGAATTATAGTCTGGCAGAGGATTGGACTGGCATTCCAGCACATATAAAGGACCCCTTGGCAGAGAATGGCAGAATTATTAGGACAAGCTATTAAGTAAATCTCTGTCTAAGCTTACCATTAAGTTAATCAAGCAGAGAATTCATGAAAAGACACATAATTTAAATCACTAGTCCGCGATAACCTCTAAGCAAAAAGCAACAATAACAAGTACTGAAAAGGAAGAGTAAAATCTAATATCCACAGTAGTCACACTAAATCATTAAATTCCCAGTTTTATTTTTTTATACATAACTTAATTTTATGTATATTTTACATCATTCTTCCTTTTTGTACAGTGCATGCTTTCTCCTTTCAGGTGTAGTCCCTGCAGAATTCCCATCACCAATTCAATACCCATGCTTTGTTACCCTAGCTCCTTTTGTCAGAACACATTTCCTCCGCTGTGTTGATGCCTCATCCTCCCCCTCCCCTGAAGACTGTCTCTGATTAATAGTTGCTTGTTAATCTCTGATCCCATATTTGGTCCCCCTATATTCCCCTATAAGTGAAACAATCTGATATTTTTATTTTTCCTTCTGACTTATTTCACTGAGCATAATCCCTTCCATCTCCATCCATGTTGGCATAAATGGCATGAATTTATCTGTTTTGATTGCTGAGTAATATTCCATCGTGTATATATACCACAATTTCTTGATCAGCCATCTATTTTTGGACATTTGAGTTGTTTTCTTATCTTACCTATAGTAAATAGTGCTGCAGTAAACACAGGGGTGCAGGTATCCTTTTGAATGAATGTTTTTGTATTCTTTTGATAGATTCCTAAGAATAGAATTTCTGGGTCATATGGAAGCTACATTTTTAGTAGTCTTGTTAAGGGAAAGGATATCCTAAAGGAACTCTGCAGAGTCTTATGGACTCCACCTTCTACTCTGGCTTTCTGGACCCTACACACTACTCCAGTGATTGGAAACTACAACTCCCAGCAGTACCAGGGAGAGAACTGCAAGGACCCAAGGGCGGAGCTAGCAGGAATGAATTCTGGGACATTTGGGGGATAAATAGGGCACGCTTGCATCTCTCCCGCTCTCTCGCTAGGGAAGCAGCTCTCCTGATCTCGTGACTCTGTGTGTTCAGTCAGCGTAGCGGTAAGGTATTCCACTTACGTTGTATCCCGCTCTCTTTCCCTGGGTTGTTTCCTATTCCTTTCCCCTTTTGTAAATAAATCCGTTAGTGACCTTTTTGTGTGTACCTGCAGTATAACTGAATTGTCAGCGTGCGGGTGAGGCCCCACAGACAGGCAGCCCAGTCCAC